CCATAGACCTCCATTATTTGAATGTCAGCAGACAGCAAGAAGCCTCCCAGATCTCCAGATGCATTTGAGATATCAAAAAAGTACTCCAGGGTGTTGTTCAGCGTGGGGGTGAGTAGAAAATGAAGGCTAATCATGTTTTGGGTGTACTATTCCTTTAAGCACTTAGTATTTAGAAATGAATGGTTCCTTGAAGAACAGACCTGAACATCATTTATCTTTATTCCATTTTGTTAAACTAAATTTTTTGTAACTCAACCAGTGTCATCTTGTACCCTGTAAAAGACAAACCTGCCCATTTCGTGTCTGTTTATCCAAAATTCAAGATAGCCTAAATATAATTCAAATCAGTCCAGTTCATTCCAGCATAATTTATCACACTCAAGTAGATACATCTGATCAGATCATATAACTGTATCGGTTCATAGAGCTCAAAGACAAAGGAGAAACTAAAATGAATTTGGAATGTTCCCTCTGGACAACATAGTTGAGAAAATGTCAGGTTAAAGAATGTAGCCCCTGAGGAACACCATGTGTTAGAGGAACAGGTCTTAGAATATTTCAGTCAAAGTCAGCATTTCATTCCTAAAACACTGAAAAGAGGATTATTATCCAACCAGCTGGTAAATCTAATTTTTTAGGAACTCTTTAAAAATAATTTCAACTGAGATTAAACATTTCATTAGTTTCCAGATATAATTTGGAAATTTATTAAAACTAACAGCGAAAATGCTTTTAAGTGTCTGAACAGTGGGAGGAAAAGATGGAATTTATTGTAATATGCTCTCTGAAGTCAGTTGGAATACGCTGCTTGAAGCAAAAATATTCTGTTTGTCAAAAAGTTTATACTCTAACTCGATCATGAGTGTGTAGCATTTGTGAAGGGAACATCTAGTACCATTTTAAAAAGAGGAAGTGGATCTTCCTGGGGGAGAAACAGTCGTCTTACGGCCTTGTTACAAGTTGAAGACTTTTTTTTTTTCTCCCCATGTGGTTTTTAAACAAACAATCCTTGAAAACAATCTTCGCTGCACATCAATCTCTATTGTCATTAATTTCCTGTCTTTCATTTCTGTTTGCGCTGCACAGAACGCCTCTAAATAGGAAGGAGCGACTGCAGATGCATGTTCTGCTGCAATGCAATAATCATCTAATGCAATAAACTTCCTGCATGAGTCTCTCAATATATGAGGTCTTAAAAACATTAAAGCCATGTTTTTTTTTTAAGGCAAGGCAAATTTATTTGTATAGCACAATTCAGTACAAAGATAATGCTAATTGCTTTACATGATTAAAATAAAGGAAAATAAAACAAAAATATAGGAAAATAAGAGGAACCTGGATTCAAATAAGACGGAAAACGTTTTGAATGTTTCTTTTTAAATCTACAGAAGATAACAAGATGCGTATTTCTTCTCTAAATGGTTTCAAGCTCTTAAAGAGGAAGTGAGACATCACTTAACAGTTTTCAAGAGAAAGTAAAATCTGTTACTACTTTAATTTCTGTGGGTGTGGGTGTATTTATAACAGCTGATTGTTTTTCTGTTATGCTCATAGTTTCAAAGGGCAGTCAGACTGAAACCACAAATCTGTGCTTGCTCAACAGAAGGGACACCTTCAACCACTTGACGACCTGGTTAGAGGACGCCCGCCAACATTCCAACTCCAATATGGTCATCATGCTCATTGGCAACAAGAGGTAAAACCATGTTTTTCATGATGGGTACATACTGGCCTACTTAAGGCTGGACCATCAGCAATGTGTAGCTGTAGGCACCAATGATTGAAAATATCTTTTTATTAAACACCACCTTCTTATTTGTTTTTAGCCAAACACTCTCTATATGCACGTAGAAATTGTGCAAGATACAGTTTTCTGCCATTTAAGCTGTGCTACAATACCGCTTCAGGCATATTAGTGTGAGAGGTTTCACTTTTTCAATAGAAATCAGCTGGTGTTAGGGGTGCTGCTGGCTCTGCTGGAGGTTATATAACGCTCTTATGTCGGAGAAATAAGTTTCCAGGCTGAGTTCATTATTAAACTTACATGGAGATCCACAATAAGACGGTCTCCATCCAACTGGACTGATTTACTTTGCAAGAAAAAAAGCAAACGTTTAGTGCTGCATATGCAAGATTAGTACGATAGCTGTGACTCTAGGGAAACATGGTTCTATGAAGAACTGACTCAGGGAAGATGGCTACAACTGCACACTGTTCTAACGAATGTCAAATCATGCATACTTTTCCTCTGCTTTACAATATGCACTACTTACATGCCAGTAAAATGCATTGTTTGTGGGTGCAACCTGAAAGAATGTGGACAGATTATAGAAATGTTTTAACGTTGCATTATAGAGCTTCATATGTGCTCTATTTTTTCACCCCATAAATTCACCTAATTTGTTTGTTTTTTGTTTTTTAGTGACCTTGAGTCGAGGAGAGAGGTGAAAAAAGAAGAAGGTGAAGCTTTTGCCAGAGAACATGGGCTCGTATTTATGGAGACCTCAGCCAAGACTGCCTCTAATGTAGAGGAGGTAATTAAGCACACTAGCAGTTGATGATGGCCACCCTAATGACTGGATTAAGGTTACCAGCTTACCTGAAGCGGAGTGCCAAACGGCTTTAAACACCACCTGTCATTGTGAAATATACGCCGCTCCATACAGGTCAACCCTAATGCCAAACAGCTCTTTTCAGTCCAGACAAATAGATCTCAGGCCGCACCACCATTTCACAGCCATTATCCGTTCTTTCACAGTTATCGGTGCTGCCTGTTGACATCTGTAGCTGCAGAATTAGAGCTCTGTCTGGAACAGAGAGCTGCCGTCGAAGGATTTCTCTGAACACTTGGAGTACATCTCAGATTTATATCAGGCAGTCTGTGAAGTCATCAAACATTTTCTGTTACGGATAAAAAAAAATAACGGGTGATTCATTTACTGTTGGTTATTAAACGTTACATTTTCTCGGAAGGTAAAATAAAATCTGTGATAACATTACCCTATTTTTTAGTTCTTTTAGATATTAGCATTTTTGTTTTGGTTTAACTTAAGTTTTGAGACCAAATTTCTAATAATTAGCTTGTCAATGTTTTGTCCAGTGGTCTTCCTTTTCATACACAAAAATAGATGCATTGCACCGACATATCAGATCTCATTTAACCCCCTGGAACATTTTTTTTTTCTTCAGTTAAAACAGCAGATCAAGCAAGTTCTTGTTTAAAGTAGTCTAATGTGCATAAAGATTCATTGTTTTTATAACAACTATTTAGGATGTGCCTGTTATACACTTTAAATAGTGTTACAGATACAATCCCATTCAGGCGTCTCCTGGCCTTTACTAATTCCTGATTTTCTTTGCAGTCTGACTTTGTAGTTCCCATTTTCACAATTTCAGGGTTTGGTTTTGTTTTGTTTTTTCAAATTTTTTTTATAAAAATTGAATAAATAAATCTAGCTGCAGATACCTAATGGCAGTAGGAGTTTTGATTCAAACAAAAAATGAAGGTATTGCAATATTATCTCTATTTATACATTAAAATACCCTATATGTCCCTAAACTTGTAAAAAAGTATTATTTTTAATTTATTCTGGATCAAACCTAGTGGCTGTTTTTTAGTTTTTTTTTAGCATTTAATAACTATGAAAAAAGATTTTGTCAGCAGATTAGGTTAAATCTCTGTCCAATTGATTGGAGCTTCTTTCAGGGTATCTGTCATTAGAATGTTTCGAGGTTTAGTCAAAGTCCATGCCGTAGAGCTGCAGCAGTGGGGATGACAGTGATGGAGCTTAACCTCACATGCATCACATTAGCATCTTGAAGTGCAGTTAGCACGCTGAATGAACGGCTCCGCCCCGCAAACAGACACACCCCGGTGTTGTCGCAGTGAATGCAAGGCCAGCTCCTCTGGGACCCCTTTCTCACTTATCCAATCACAGGACTAATCCTACCCTACACGGCACAGCATGCCACCCAGAGGCACATCTCTCTCTCTCTTTCTGTTTTTACATAGATTTTTTTCCTTCTTCCCCATCCTCCTCTTGACCAGTCTGTCATACAAACGCTCACACCCACAGCACTGTTGAGCAGCACTCTTCTGGGGTTAAGATTTAGGGGGAGGGGTGTGTGTGTGTGTGTGTGTGTGTGTGTGTGTGTGTGTGTGTGCCCATTTGAGTGTGTGTTATGATTAATTTGTCTCATTAGTGTCCTCTGAATCCTCCTGATACCGCTCTTCTCCTCCCTTCCCTTCATCTCTCCCCGCTCCATCCCTCCTTATCCCTCGACGTCCATCATTTGCTCTTTACCTCTCCCACTTCACCTCCCCCTTCCCTGCTCGTCATCCTTTCCTTGCTCTCCCCTCCTTCAGTATGTCTTACGTCCTCCTCTCATTTATGTCTTCCTGCCCTCTTCCATTCATTTCTTCCTCCTTCCTTCCCCCATCATCTCTCCCCCTATTTTCCAGCAGTATATCAACCAGTTAAAGTTCATACATATTCATAACTTCCACCCCACCTTCCCTCAGCGACATCCAGCAGCCAATCAGTGTGCGAAGTTCGTCGTCAGGGTCTGTGGGTGGACACTAGGGTTGATGGGATGGTCTTTAGAGACAGACGGAGAGATCCTGCAAGCATGCTTTCATCGTCTCATCTCCCTGCCCTCTCCTAAATCCTTCACAAAGATCCCCCCCCCCACCGCCGCCGCCCACTTCTCCTCTCCTTTCTCATCTCCCTGTCCTCCTGTGCTCTCCTGTTAATTTTTCTTTATCTTTCCGCAAGATATTTTCCCATTAGTTTTTAGTGTAACTCTCATCTCTCCTTTTTATCATCCTTGGGTTGGAAGACATGAGGGAAGGAAGGAGAGGTGCAGTGATCTGTAGAAAGAAGCAAAGAGGGCGGGAGGGAACAGGGCATGGTAGACTACAGAGCACCCTTGGGCTCAGTCTATTTTTGACAAGGTGCCAGAGAGGAGTTCAGGACATATAGTCACTTTCTCACAGTGTGTTTCTTTTTTATTATTATTATTTTAATGAAGAGAAAAATTGGTCATAAATATTATTACCATTCAAGTTTGTACTAAAATCAGCCCGCCCAGATCGTCTGCAAACCTTAGAATGAGGAATCAGAGCCGAAGTCGCTTATATAGTTTATCCCAGTTATTGCTCTTCAGTTTAAATCCTTCAGACATAACTCATAAGATCCTGCCCCTGGAGACAGAAGCATCGATACCTGTAGTCACAGGGCAGTCGCTCTGGGATCTTTAATTCCACTTTATTGAATAAACTTTGATCCTCTCTGTGTTGTTAGGGACTGTGTGTGTCTGTGTGTGGGGGGAAAAAAAGATGGATTGTGTGTTAATCTATGTCCAATTGTTCTGTTGTTGATCTAGACAAACATGCAGCTGTATTGGGTAACAAGGGGCTCCTTAATAACCGCTAAACTTATGAAAGCTGAGGAGAAGGCTTGGATCGCAAAAAAAAATTAAACGACATAAAAAAAACAGAGTTGAACTATTAAAGTCCAACCAAAACATCCTTCATGAGCATAAGGTAAAACAGACGGGTGCACCCACCCTGGAATTAGCTGAACTTTCTCACAAAGAGAATAGATTTGACACAACTTAACGCTGTATTGTATGTATGTGTTGCTTTTACATATATTCTACGTTTATTTTGCCCTTGACGTTCAGCTAGATCTAGGCTAGAAACTTAGTCTTACTTTTTTCTTTCATTTTGATGGCATAGGGAAGATACATATCTTTAAGTAAATGTCTCCAAAAAAAGATTAGGTTAAATTTATTAATAAAGCAAATTTCCAATGTGCGAGAATGGAGATGAAAATAAAGACACCTAATATGACATAATAAAAGAAATAAAAACAATTACTTAAAGGCAAGACAGCGTAAAGAAGTAAGATCATATAAGATCACGATGTGAATGAAGTAAAGATGGAAAAAAAAAGTGGATAAGAATCCTCATCAGAAAATGCATAATAACCAAAAGCATTACATTACTTACCAGAGGTTTTGAAGGAGCGAATTAAAGAGAACCTTAGTGTTTAAAAGCACCAAGAACTAATGTGGAATTGATTCTGGGTATAACAAGTAGACATCTATAGACCTCTCAGGATAATCAGAAGGAGCCAGGTCATTTAAAGCTGGACAAAGAATCACTAGCATTTTAAAACTAAGCCTCAGTTTAACTAGAAGTGTTGATTGTAAAAATAGAAATGGTTTTCTTAATCTCATCCCACCCTTTACATCTACTCTTTATGTAGTGAGGAAGATTTACTCACCCCTGCATGTTGTATGCTTGAACCCAGTTTTATCTGCTCTCTGAATAAATCAGCTTTATAAAACCACATGGAAAAATTCATAGACAATTTAACAGTTGACATGTTGTGAATTTGTTTAGTCAAACTGAACTGAACTATGATTTTCAACCAAGAACTTTCCTTCTCAGGTGATCAAAGCTATAAAGTCCAAATAGAAAAAATAGAACGGGTAACAGGTGTTTAAACCAAAGTGACCTAATCCTTCCTGATGTTATAAAAAAGGGTTAAATGTCTCATCCTAATAGATGCGTGCTAAACAAGATGCTAACGACATGAAGACACAACTTTTCACAATAATGTTCATTAAACAGAAAAATTATAATAGTAGCTGTGTACCGTAGTATTTTGGTTGTTACTTTGTCTTGTGCTGCTAAAGTTAAGCGCATGTGTGTCTGCTAAGTTGAACAAAAAAAAGATCTCACTCAAATTATATATTTCCCTGCTTGTGATGCTAAAACTAACGAATGAAGCTCAAATCACTTTTCTGTTTAAAAGATGCAAACTAATAAAAGTGCATTAAATCTATTAGGTGCTATTCAGCAGGCTCTGTATTTTATAACTCCAGAGCAATTCTTTGATAAATTCTTCCGTTCCCTTTATGTAAAATATTATGGATGTTTTTCTTTTTTTTGTTTTTATTTATTTTTTGTTCAGGGGAATACAAATTTCTTTCTTCTGAAATATGATATATTCAGACCCCTGATTGAACCTAATGGGTCAAAGTGACACTCTGGTGGTAGATAATATTATAGTATTAATAATAGCCCCAAGGGGAATAAAAGGTTATGCTGGATCAGTACAAAATGTTCAGCTCCTGAATGACTTGGATACAAACTGACTAAACACTAGAGAGGAACAAAATGGCAGGATGAAATACGCAGCATCTCCTCTAACCTGTTTCAGCTTTTATACTAAGCTTGGACATGCATTAGTTCTCTCTCTGCATACTAAACATGTTTGTTTTATCTCCTATGTAAATATGTGCCGGGAAGGTAAAGGGACCCATAACTTCTTTATTTAAATCCCATTTTTACCAAAAGAACCTCTTAAAGATTACTCTTTACTTGCCTTTATAATAATGTAGGGTCGTTTTAATGTCCAAAAGGTTCCTATTTTTTTAAGTTATCTGCTAAAAACGCTCGTCATTTTGTGGCCTTACGAAATATTTTTTGTTATCTGATATGTGCGTATGAAAAAGCTAAGAGCACATAGATGCAAAAACTGGAAATGCATGCCTGTGTTCTCACAACAATGGCTGGGGTTTATTGCTGTCTGCAGGGTGTTTTTCTTTTCCCTCACATGCATAGTTGGTGAATTTTCAGCAGTTAACCAGGAAGTCTGCATTACTTAACTGACAGCTGCCACACCCAGATAAAATATTCCACAAAACATACACATCCAACTGTAAATGTGTTGTTTTATGATCAAGGGTGATGTGTTTACTGTGAAATGCCAGGTTAAAGTTTTTAACAAGGCTCTGAGAGAAAGGCCTGACAGAAATGTGAAAGTCCAGAGTGCAGAGGTTCAAAGGCCTGTTGGCTGTTTTTATTTCTTTTTTGTTTTTTTGTTTAAGAGAACTTTGTTGAAATTGAGAACTCCATCAGAGCTGTACAGGCTTATTTGTAGGGGCCGGTACAGAAATATGAATTGAATCTCTTTCCTTCATCTGTCTCGCTTCCTGTCTCCGTTTTAGGCTTTCATCAACACAGCCAAGGAGATCTATGAGAAGATCCAGGAGGGCGTGTTTGATATCAACAATGAGGTAAGGCACACTGAACGCTCTGCTTTCCTATCTTTCCCTTTAAGCTGCTGTATTCGTGTCCTCTTTATTCGTGGCCTTTCTTCCTCTCTTTTCCAGTCTTTGTTCTATTCCCTCTTTCTCTTCAGCTTGGATTTCCAGCTGTGTGTGTGGTTTGCCACGCTCCCTCTAGCCTCAGAAAAAGAGGGGGAGGAAAAAAAAAAACCTCTCTTCTTCCTTTGACTCCAGCCAAGCAAAACTCCCTGTGTTCCTCCTTTCCTCTGCTCTATTTTCCACTTCCACTCTTCCCTTCCTTTGCTCTCTCTCTCTCTCTCGGCATTTTGCCAGCTCATAAATTCCTCACGTCCCACAAGGTCTCGGTCATTCAGCAAGAAAACAAACACTCGCTCAGCCAGTCAGCCTGTAAGCTGCCTGTCAGCCCAGTCACTGTCAGCCAAATTTCTATCTATGGAACAGCAAAGGAAGCAGAAAAGTTTAGTTGTGCAGCCAGTCATTGAGCTGAGATGTTAATCCGATTACTTCCACATGAAGATGGTCGGAACGAAAGCAAACTGCGAGTTAGAAAGATTAAGGCAATGCAGAACACGTCGAACTTGCATCTGCATACAGCCAATAACTGTAGCTCCCCCATGGGAACCAGAGTGCTGACTATAACGAGACCCCTGCATCAAAAATAAGGTCACAGACGGTTTACTTTCACCTCAACTGACGGCTCAAAGTTAGCAGTTGTTTACCTTTTAGTTGTAAGGAAGTAGTCATTTAACAACAAGTTTATCTGCAGATTAGCCTGCATAGCTAGCTTCTTCATTCCTTCCATTCTTTCAGCCTCACACTGTTATCTTTATGCATCACCCGTCATTGTGTTGAGTTTTTAGGACGTAAAGAAACGTTATGTAGATGTGGAAGTTAAAAGCAAAACAACTGCAGCAACTTTTTAAATGAGAACTGATGTATGGTCCGGGTTGTTTCCCTGTTTCTTGTGTCAATCACTGTGAAGCTGTGTAGCATGCAGCCTATATGCTGTCTGCTTAGGCACAGCGCTGATGCTCATAATGCCACTTCTTTCCCCGGACAAGCTTATTATTGCTTTTTTATTAAGAAAACATTGACCCTCCCCTCCAATTCTGGTTTTAGTTCCTCCTCCACTAACTCAACCAACTACTAAATTTTTTTTTTCTTTGCATATGCTCATATCACTATTGGAATAGAATATTTAATGTTACTTCATTATCTCAGCTTATAGTCACTTCCTGATGGGTACATTCTTTGTTGTAGATTTTTTGCCACAGTAAATTTTTGTTGCTTTACTGTTTCAAATAAAATAAACTAGGTCACCTTTACAGTAAATAGTGTAACATAGTAAAGGTGTGGTACTACAATACTGGTGAAAATCCTAACAGTGGTCCGTAAATCTCTTCCCCACGTATGCCTGTTCAACAGCTCCACATTCTGCTGTAGAGTCTTCACATCTTCTATGTTGTCTGTGAATCACCAGTGGCTCTAAATTGGAGCCTTGTGGTTTGCCCTTTCTACAGTTTAGTAAAGGTTGATCTTAGGGCCCTCTGGCCTCTTTTGCGTGCTGTTGTAGTTATTAGAGCCGTGTCTGAATCCTCAGACTGTTTCCACATGTGTTTTGCAATGCTTTGGGCCCTTCAGCCAGCTAACGCAGGTGTTGGCCAGACGGTGAGCCACTCAATGTTTCTGTTATTAGTACGAGTTAGACAGAGTGAAGGCAGGCCGGCCGGCCAGCCAGCCAAACCACATCAGCTGACAGAGCTTCAAGTGAGAAAGGGAAGCCCCACCAGAAATGTTGGCAGCGGCTACGAGAAAACACACACATGGCCTCAGCTCAATAAATGTGATTTAAAGGCATACCGTGTTTCCCAGAGGCACTACTGCTACTGAGTGTAGGAGGAGAGTTGCACTGGGAGGGAGAGATAAATATATACAGACGGAGAGGGTGAGTAAGGCCCACTCTGTGCTACAGCTGCACCGGGAAAGAGAGAGAGAGCTGATGAAACACAGAGGGAAAGTGAGCACTACAGCTCAGAGAGATGAAAGTGTCTCCCTACCACCCACCTGCCTGCCTCCTTCTCACTTACTCCTCTTTTATATGTGCTGTTCTTTTTTATCCTGTTGTCCTTGAGTGCTGCTGCTGCTGCTGCTGGTGTTTCCTCTTCCTTTGTGCAGCACAGCAGCACCTGTTGCTTCCTCTAAGATGTGATCTAATAGAAAGCCCCACAGGCACCATGCCCTGTTAATCGCTCCATGAAAGCAATATCAAGAGGTCATTCTTTCCTCTTAGTGAATACAATTACACATTTATGACCGTGCTTTCAATTAACATATTTCCTGACATGGTTAACATTTTTTAAGTTACAATCAGGTTGTTGAAATAGTTTTAAGTAAAATGGGAGCTGTTTTTAAAACTCAAATCATGGCCCAACCAGACTAAACCTTAATATTTAGTCAACTTTTGCTATTGCAGAGTTTTATTTAGCATCATTTTAAAGATGATTAAAGCCTATTAACTCTAGTTGGTCACATATTTGGGAATAATTGAAGAAAGGTTGAATTCAGCGCACAGCTTGTGCGACATAAAGCTTACCAATCTTCCTTTACACCCAAATTTACCACTAAGTGCAGCTAACTAGAATTTGTCCTGATTATTTTGCTGACAGGTAAATTGACAAAAAGCACATTCTGGATTTCTAAAAAGTACAAAAACAGCTTGTAATGAAAAATAATAATAATAATAATTAAAAAAAATCATGGTTAGGATGTTATTATATCATAACACCACTGTTTATGTTTTTGCATAAATAAATCTTTAACATTATGTTGGGAACCCTGTATTCACTTTGAAAGGTGAGATAATCCAATTTAAGGAGAAGCTAGAGCTAAAAACAAAGAAATACAGGAAGAAAATGAGTTTGAGGTTACCGTGCATCAAGGCAACCCTGGATATGCAGCTGGAACATTTTTTACTTCACAATAGCAGCATACAACTCCCAGAAATAAATGTATATAATATATATATACATTTTTTCTAAATAGTACCTGAAGTAAATATCAAAGCTGAAACTAAAAACTTGGATAAAGAAAATACTACTTCGGATTTGAAGTTTTCACAAATATTTCTTAGTTTTTATTGCTCTTTACCTCAAATGAAGTGTTTAAAATATAGTACTGCAAGTTATTATCAATAAAAAGATTTTTGACTTAATGAATCAGTTAATTCAACTGTTGTTTTTTGTTGTTTTTTCCAAAGTAATGACCTTATTTTTAAGAGGTTGAGTTTCTTTTTTTTGTTGTTGTTGTTCAGATGTGATCTAGCTTACGTATGCCTCTGTTTTTGTCTCCACGCAGGCTAATGGTATTAAAATTGGACCCCAGCATCCCACCACCAACTCCCCAATCTCCAGTAACCAGGGAGGCCAACATGCTGGAGGAGGCTGCTGCTGAAGCCCCACCTCACACCGCCTCCTCCAGCCCAAGCCCTTCCTCCTCCTCCTCTTCCTCCTCGCCTTCTCCAACCCTCCGTCGCGTTTCTACAGAACTGTCCAGGCCCACTAACAGTTTAACGTCTCTCTCTACCACTTCATCCATCCATCCTGAGTGTCTTAAGCATCCCTGTGTGAGGATGGAGTCAGCTTCACCTGCAGATTTACACATTTTGTTCAGAAGTATTTACCTTTATTTTGGTTGGAAAAAAAGATTTTAAGCATTTGAGTGAAAACAACCAAACATAACGCATTAGTAGAAGTTTTTTTTTTTTTCCTCAGCTAATTAATTGATAAATTTCCTCTAGATTCAAATGGACGTTGGTGTATTGCAGGAACTGAAACCCACAAAGAGCTGCGATTGGCTGCAGTGGGCCGACTTGATTAAAAACTCCCAACGGCTGACTTTACAGAATAAACCAGGCACCATGTTGTGTCTATACACACATCCTTACGCATTTTTAAAGACCACGTTGATAGCAGGACATGTTTTTACATGCTGAGTCAGATTTCATGCTGTTCCTGTGTATGTAGGGACAGCACAAATATTTCAGGATGTCTGTTTGGGATGTGTGGGAGGCATTCAAGTTACTCTGTATTATTTGTATAAAAAAAGAAAAAAAAAAGATGCAATTCATGTCATTTTGTTTTTTGACCATGCTTTCTTCCCCCCGATTATCTTTGTCATGTTACTTTGCGATCTTTGTGTCCTTTTTGTCAGCTCACACGTGTTTTTTTTTGTATTTCATAAACACTACAAAAAAAAAAACTTGTTGGAGAAAGTGTTTTAAACCGCCTGGGTAGAGAATAAAAGACCAAACTGTTGAGTGTGAACATGGATCCTTTTAGAGCAACAGAAGAGTTGAGCAGGAAAGCTGAAATCGTTAGAGCTTGTCGAGTGGTGGCTGTCTTCATGAAGAAAAAGAAAATGAACGGATAAGAAATTAGGACTTTTTTTTATGTATTTATCAGGCATTTCTGTGTATATATGGCTCTAGGTTTCTGTAGCTGTGTTGGCTGTCGAAGATGAAGCGTGGCATGCTGTTGTGGTCTAGTTGAGTCTTAGAAAGACGCTGCTCACGGCCTTCGAGCAGCTTTTTAGCATAACTTTCATTCAAACCCAGAGGAGCTCCGCCACCCTGGTTTGTTGGGGTTGGAGGTGGCCTTTCTTTGAAGTGACAAATCTGAATATCAGGCTGTTGGCAGGACCAAGCAGGGGTATTGACTGTCTCTGCTGGGGGGGGGGGGCTTTGACTCGGTTTGATAATGTCTGAGCATCTCCCTTTTTAAACGAGCTAAGATGTCCATCCCGAATTAGCTGCCACATATATAATGTGTACTTAATAGAGCTTGATCGATGAGTGCCGCAGTGTTTTGTTTTTCTGCTTTAAAATCTAAATTGTAACCAGGCCTGTTTTTATTATGCTTAGTGGCTGCTCATTATCCACTCACCCCTTCTGCATCATCGCACTTTTTCTTTTCCCCAGACTGTGCAGTAACAATAGCTCTACCTACTCTTATGCCAAAATATTGTTTACTTGTGTTTTTACTCAATATTTCCCCCTTATAGTCTGAACTACAATCAGCTGTCTGCCTTAACTTCAGCTCCCCAACCCCGCCTCCCCTGAGAGACCTGGACAGCTGCATAAATGAGCGACCCTTTACCTGCAGATAGGCATTTCAGCACTAACGCGTTAGCCGGCGCTGCGTTTACCCATGCATAGACGCACACCTTGGGAGATAAATCGAGGAAGAGGTCTTGTTTCAATTTTTGTTTCTGAATTGGGGCATTTAAAACAAATCCCTACAGCATTGTTTTTTTCTTTCCTATCCCCTCCAAACGCACGCACACACGTACACAGCCTGCATACAGTATATGTATGCATGCGAAGATGAAGAATACATATTTTCCTGTCTAACCATGCTGGGTTTTTTCTTTTTTTTTGTTCTCTTCAGGCTAACTGTGTAACTTTTAGGTTTGACATCAGTGATCTGTTTTCCTTGGCAGTGTGTTCTTCTCTAATATTAGTTTATTTTTTAAATTCCTTAATAAATATATATCAAATGGTTATTGATCGTATTCTGATGCTGATTATTCTTTGTACACCAACATGTAGTGTGCGCGCGTGAGTGTACGTGTGAACCCACAGGGGTTACAGGGGGAGGATCAAGCCAAACCTGATGTATCTATCTACCCACCTACTTATCTATCTATGGATTGATCTATCTTATGTATGTGGTCCTCCTCTCTCTTCTTTCTCTCGCTCTTACCTCCTCTTTCTGCCTCTTCTCCTTCCCCTCAACGTTATTTGCTGTGTTTGTTCTTTGGAAAAAATAAAACCTTAAAAAAAGGAAAAATGAAAATGCTATCACAATAAACTATAATAAAACATTCTAAACTAAAGTTGTCATTTTGATTTTTTGATTTTTTTTTTTTGTGGAGATGGGGGATGAAAAAAAAAAAAAGCCTAGTTATTTGTATTTCCCCTCAATCCATTAAACTGCAATGTTTCCACATGCCTTCTGACTCTGATTTAGTCATTAAAATGAGGAGGAAATAACTTGTGCACTCGGAAATGTGCTGTTCGACCTTCAGCCGTCATGGAGGTTGTATTCCCCGATGAGTGGCGGTCAGATTGAGAGACCGCTTAATGAATGAAACATTTTTGAAACACGTATGTGGCTGGGCATCATTTGCATGATGTTCATGCGTGAATGTCCTTTGTTTGCCACACATTTTATACACAGTGTCACTAATGTAGATGTAGTGCTAACCTTCATGACTCGTACAGTCCGAGTCAGACCTCTTTCCTAATCGCTGGCATGGATGTGATTAATTTAGCTGTTTATTACTGCATGTGTCTGGTTCTTTTTCTAGGGTCGGGCGGATAGACAACATGCTGGTTTAGAGGTTAACAATGGTTCTACAAGTTTTCATTTAATAAAGATTTTCTCAACTTAAACAGGGTCTAAATAAAACACCCAGACTCAAATGCATGCATGTTCCTTAACCCAAACGGATTTAGTAGCCATTATCAAGCTTCTGGTTTTCTTCTGACCAGTCTTCTTAACTTAAACTGTTTGCAAGGGGAAAATTTCCCAAACTGTTAGTTTTAGTAGGAATTTGAACAATTAATTAGCTCAGTAATGTCAAAAGCTGGAAGATACTTCGGCAACAAGTTCAGTGTTCACATAGGAGCAAACATATGAATGGTTTGACAAAGGGGGAAACATCCTTTATGTATGGATGAAAATGTGTTATTTTCCATTAAAAAAACAAAACAAAAAAACTCTGAAACAGCTGTTAAGCAAAGTGGTGGTGGTATCATGCTGTGGGGTTTCCCTTCCAGTAGTGATGGTGCCTTCCACAAAGTGGGTGGAATAAGTAAGAACAAATGAATGCCTTTAAAATAACTCTCTAACAAGGTGGCAGACATTTGGGGGACTCTAACATGAAAAAAAAGGTTTACTAAATAAGTGCTTTATTTTTTGTAGTTGAAAACATTGTTTGAGTTCAGGGCTAGTTAGGGATAGGCCTCAAGCTGTAAGGCTTTTTAGGAAGTGCCTTGCTGCAAGTGTGAGCTCCCATGCAGATAGGACCCCCCCCAACAATGGAGCATTGTTAGCGCTGTTGTTAGCCTAGCTCCCTGACAGGAGGTCACATGCAAGAAGGGGTGAACTGGTTTGAAACTGTTTGAAACTGACTGGGAATCAGAATGGACGTTGGACTGTACTTTTCTTTTTTTTTCTTTTTTTTTTTTTTTTTTTTTTTTTTTTTTTTACTAAAATCTAGGGCCTCATTCCCTGTTTTGTTGTTGTTGTTTTTTACCGGTTTTATATCAATTGCCTACTTCATGCCTTTCTCAAACCATATAATAATAATTTAACTTTATTGATCTCACATTGGAGAAATTAACCTCTGCATTTAAACCATCATGGGGCAATGGGGGGTTAAAGGTCTTGTTCAGAGAAACCAGAGTGACAGTGGGTTTCAAACTCACAACCTCAGGATTTCAGGCTGTATACCCTAACCACTAGACAGCCACTCCCCTACTTATATATCTTCTCTGTTTAACATATAAACATTTTGGTCCTCAGAGGAGTGTCTGTTATCCTTGAGGTGTAGCATCTTATCTAAGTCTTCTCCAGTGGGGCTGTCTCCATGTGCTGGGTCAAGCATCTGTGAAGCGGATGTTTAGTTTCTCCAGAATGGAATTAGTTTCATTCTTCTCTGCATTGAACTGCGCTGTTAGGTATGAAAATCCTCAGGGGGTGTTTTTGGGAAATTTCCCCTCTCAGTTTGTCAGAGCTTCCAGCAGCATTGAAAGTGACACATTGCAAAAGTTTGTGTATTTTTCTCTTGATTATAGCAGGTAAATAGGACAATTCTCCAATGAAAGAAAACTATTTCAATTGATCTTATATAAAGTGCAAAATATCTAGTTCTGTTATTTTAAAGACTAAAATACTCATTCCATTGGCAGATTATCTGACTTAGATTAAGGTCAAATACACTCATTTTAAGAAATGTGTACTTATTCTAGATCAGTTTAGAATGGCAATGTTTTTCCATTTGTTCTTTCCCTTGTTCTGCTCAGTGGTGCCTTTTCATTTCACTGCTTTATCAAACACCAAGTTAGGAGATTAACAGGTTTGGAGAGATTATTTAATCTGGTTCTGTTCTCTCCCATGTTGTTGTCATTTCATTGCTTATGTTGGAAATGTTGTTTGGTTATTATTGTGTATGTACAATTCAAAACCCAAAATGATTTGAATAAATTATCAATTTAGGATTGTATCTGGAAAAACAAATATATATAATATATTTGTACAATAAATTGTTGTGTCTAGAGAGAAATTTGACACTTTGATATTCCTTTTTTTTGTCCTCAAATCATTTATTTCCTGTAGCAAATACTATTTTAGATCGCTTTATTTTTGTTTTGTTTTTTCTCTCCTGTAAGAAAAAACGTTGTGCTCATTGGTTTCTGTTAAAATGGGTGAATTTAGCAGAAGAGAAGTACAATCAAATACAAACTAAAGTCAGTGCTGGATATATTCCACTTGACCTCATTGACTTCAGTATCCTGATATTGTTTATTCTTGCCAACTGCTGCAATATCAGGACTCACAGGAACACTTGAATGGAGCACAGCTCTTATAGATGGTCCAGTGAGCCCTTTGAAGCAGTAAAGGATAAGGTGTAATTAACACTGTTATCTGCATCTATAAATCTTTGAATTGTTCCTTGTAATTCATGATAGCAGATTAGAAAGCCAAGCGGAAGGAAGACCTTCCATGATTAATATTGGCAACTGGCTGCAAAGAAGGCAAATTGAAGACCTCCTGTCACAGTTGACAGCATATTCACTGTCAGGGATTTGTAGAAACATTTCACTCAAGAGATCAACAACTAAATTCATTCTATCACTTAAAAATGACATTATTTCAAAAATCAGATAAAGGTGATCATAATAGAACAAATTAATCTAGAACAACTTCAGGACAACAAGATTTTCCACCGGTCAGAAAATGTCTCCCTTGTGTAGCTGACAAACGCCGAGGTGTTTAATCTATTGTTGCCCTTGTTTTTCTGAACATTTATTACTACAAATAACACCTTTAACACCTTTTAAGGTTGTTTTATTGATAGAGTCCTGAAGAACCACATTTGTGCAAATATTTCCTTCTAGACTGGTCTTCCCAACTTGGTTATGAAACACATTAAAACGGCACCTTGAATGAGGAGAAACATGAAGTGCCTGAGGATTTACTTTATGTTCAAGCTGTTGATTTAATAGCTGTTCTCTAAAAAAGTCACAGTCAATGCGTTTCCTTTCCTAAAGCCAAACTATACTATGTGCATGATCCTTTTGTTGGCCCATACTGTAGCTTCAGCCTTGCTGCATCTTTAGCATAAGCAAATGTTTAGCTGCATTAAAAGGCTTTGATGTCTTAAATTTAGGCTGTGCACTAAATTGTTCTATTATTTTTGCTTTTTTATGATTATATTGAACTACCATGGACAAGTAAACATGTTTTATCTTGAGCATTTGATGATTTGAACTTGTTTGTAGATTTAGGTGTTAATGTTAGGATGTTAATACATGCTAAGTGGGTTTTAGCATGCATTGTTTTATTTTTATTTATAAATTTTTTTGTGGCTGCATAAGATTTATCTGATGATCGAAGGATTTTATCTAAATCAGACATCCCCAAACATGGTCCTCAAGGCCCCCTGTCCTGCAGTTTTAGAGGTTTCCCTGCTTTAGCACAGCTGGTTATAATGATTGCAGTAGACCAAAAGCCTGTTAATCAGCTTTCAATTAAAATCAGCTGTGCTGGAGCAAGGAAACCTCTAAAACCTGCAGGACAGGGGGCCTTGAGGACCGAGTTTGGGGATGCCTGATCTAAATTATTAAAATATTAAGGTTTGGAGTTTTCATCTCTATGGAATAGCAAAAACAGGAGAACAAACCAGAACCAGGCCCCTGTGGTTTGCAGTTTACCTGAAGTTTTTCCTTTCTTTAAAAACAAACAGAATATTTTTGTCTAATATATCCAAAAATGTGGAATTAAATGACTTGGCTTTATAATTTAAGCAACGGAGCTTATGTTTTAGAGGCTCAACAAATTCTGTGTAATTTGATATTTCATTAATCCCAACGGGAACTTTGATGTTTCACTCTCTTATCGTCCAAGTTTATCCACCAGTCATTATAAGTTTTAGCTGCGGAGAGGATGGACCCTTTATTGTGATTTGTGTAGCAGATGAAGTTTTTAGACTTTTCTAAATAGAGACACCATGATGTTGGATTATTGTTAGATGAGGATACTTGGTATTTTCTATTTTGCTCTGTTATTGTTGACATTGTTTATTATGTTATAAACCAGGTTCAAGAGCGAAACCATCCTGGTTTATCAGAATGTTTAACTTTCTAAAAGAAGAATATATATAGCTTCCCACAATAAACAAACTTCTGTATTTCCAGTCCATTGTAACATCCACCTAACTTTTACATTCCTCTACCATCTCCAGTGATGGAAATTATGCTTGAAATGAGGGCAGCTGCTCCATAAAATCCATTTTTTGTTGTTTGCATTTATTAAAGATGAGCTCATAGTTCCCTCTCAGTGACACCCACCTACATTTCTGCACACCTCAAGTTCACCTGAAAACTTATACTATTATTCCTGCAGGTAAACGGGCTGTCTGTGTTAAAAGTGAAAATAAAAATATATGGGAATAGTACTGTTCCCTGCGGTGCTCCGATGCTCACTCACAACACGCTGTCTATTATCGTTTATTCATATTAAAAAATGGTAATGATAACAATGTACCAATTTTTTC